GAAATTGCGCTAGATTTAGAAAAAGAACCCGAAGAAATTGTTGGAAAAGTAAAGAAGCTGAAAGAGAAAGTTGTCGACAAAGCTGCTGAGGCGGAAATTGCGCTAGATTTAGAAAAAGAACCCGAAGAAATTGTTGGAAAGGTAAAGAAACCGAAAAAGAAGATTGCTGATGAAGTGAAAGAAAAAGTTGTCGACAAACCTGCTGAGGCAGAAGTTGCATTAGATTTAGAAAAAGAACCCGAAGAAACTGTTGGAAAAGCAAAGAAGCCGAAAGGGAAAGTTGTCGACAAATCTGCTGAGGCAGAAGTTGCATTAGATTTAGAAAAAGAACCCGAAGAAACTGTTGGAAAAGTGAAGAAGCCGAAAGAGAAGATTGCTGATGAAGTGAAAGAAAAAGTTGTCGACAAACCTGCTGAGGCAGAAGTTGCATTAGATTTAGAAAAAGAACCCGAAGAAACTGTTGGAAAAGTGAAGAAGCCGAAAGAGAAGATTGCTGATGAAGTGAAAGAAAAAGTTGTCGACAAACTCATTGAGACAGAAGTCGTATTAGATTTAGAAAAACAACTGGAACATGAAATTATCGATGTTTCGATCGTAAATGTGATTTTAGAATCGGTTCAATATTCCATTCGTTTAGCAAAGGAAGCAAAGACAGAGCAACCTAGCGAAGAAGTTGTTGAAAAAACAAAGAGGCCGAAAAAGAAGGTTTCTGAAGAAATAAAAGAAGAAGCTGTCGATAAACTCATTGAGGCAGAGGTTCCATCAGATTTGGAAAAACAACTCGAAGAAAGTGTTGGAAAAGCAAAGAAGCCGAAAGAGAAGATTGCTGATGAATTGAAAGAGAAAGTTGTCGACAAATCTGCTGAGGCAGAAGTTGCATTAGATTTAGAAAAAGAACCCGAAGAAACTGTTGGAAAAGCAAAGAAGCCGAAAGGGAAAGTTGTCGACAAATCTGCTGAGGCAGAAGTTGCGCTAGATTTAGAAAAAGAACCCGAAGAAATTGTTGGAAAGGTAAAGAAACCGAAAAAGAAGATTGCTGATGAAGTGAAAGAAAAAGTTGTCGACAAACCTGCTGAGGCAGAAGTTGCATTAGATTTGGAAAAACAACTTGAAGAAGCTGTTGGAAAAGCAAAGAAGCCGAAAGAGAAAGTTGTCGACAAATCTGCTGAGGCAGAAGTTGCATTAGATTTAGAAAAAGAGCCCGAAGAAATTGTTGGAAAAGTAAAGAAACCGAAAAAGAAGATTGTCGACAAATCTGCTGAGGCAGAAATTGCGCTAGATTTAGAAAAAGAACCCGAAGAAATTGTTGGAAAAGTAGAGAAGCTGAAAGAGAAAGTTGTCGACAAAGCTGCTGAGGCGGAAATTGCGCTAGATTTAGAAAAAGAACCCGAAGAAATTGTTGGAAAGGTAAGGAAACCGAAAAAGAAGATTGGTGATGAAGTGAAAGAAAAAGTTGTCGACAAATCTACTGAGGGAGAAGTTACGTTAGATTTAGAAAAACAACCCGAAGAAACTGTTGGAAAAGCAAGGAAGCCGATAGAGAATTCTGCAGTAGAGTCTTGGTGTAAGGTGATAAAAAGTGAACGAGAAGTTGAATTTAATATTCATCTTTCCGGAGTAAAGGCTTCTCTGACCAAGGAAACAAGAGTTTCATTGTGTGTTGAGAAATCTCCAGAGCATTGCTTCGCCGACACAATAACCACATCTGCAGGTTTTTGTTACTGTAGTCTTTTTGTTGTACTTCCTGGATTACCGAATGCTATTAAAGAAGGAATGGAAAGGCCGACAGATTTGAGTGTGATGAAAACAAAGCATGCTCAAGAAATTCCCGTCGAGACGGTTTCTATTAGTTTCGAGCTCACAAAACAGAGGACTCAAAAAATTGGTGTTGGTACTATTTTTAATTCCGAGCGTCCAACGGAGCAAATTGAACTCGTTGAGGAAATTATAAGAGCAAGCCCATATGATGAAACTGTTCAAATTTTAATGCTTAGTGAGAAGTGCTCATCGTTTATGTCACTTTGTATCGGTGGGAAAACTGAAAATGAAGATGTTGATGTTGATATCAATAGAACAGTATTTGACATACCGGGAAGAAGATCGAAGGAGCGTTCGAAATCTGGTTAGTTGTTTTCATAACCACTTTATGAACGATTTTATAATTTACAGTAATTATCTTGGGAGTGCTGCATTTTTTCATCACCTATTGATACACTCTTCATGCTGATACTCTTTTCTATTACAGTCATTCGATCAAACATTTAGTTTCGAAAATCTCGAATATTATCTAAATATAATCTCGTTGCAGTAGTAGCTGACATTGAAGTGGATGCTGGAGAGGAAATGGCAACAACAGATGCAATTGTGGATGTATTGACAAGTTTCGAAGAAACTGAACTAATTATAAATGAGTTGGCATCAGATTTTCTTGATGTTGGTGTTACTTTAGACGCTTTGATGGAGGACGAGTCTATTGAAGTTATTGGTCCCGTCTTCCATAGTCAAGTATGTGTTATTACAGATAACAACTTTTGAAAGTAAGGAACAAAATAGTTTTTTCCCTTGAGTGCTTATTAATGTTCGTATTTAGAATACTTACTATAAATTTAGAATACTTAGTACTAAAGCCAATTCAAACTCACGTACTACTAAAGCCAATTCAATCTCACGTATTTAGAATACTTATTACTAAAGCCAATTCAATCTCACGTAGTAAACACCTTTCATAAATCTTAGAAAAAGTTGGATCATTGTTTTTAATCCGCTACTGATTACATATAAACTTACGATTTTCACTTCTATACATTCAACTTCATTGCTCTAAAGCATTGCATAAGAAATGTAACTAATATTTTTATACTCTCTGCAACATTATTTTTACTCTGCAGCAAATAGATAGAATCTTCTATCTATTTGCTGCAGAGTAAAAATGGTCAATATGTATAGCTCTCGATATAATCTGTCATTTTAGACTGCCTCATTGGTAGTTCAAATGTCAACAGCAGTTGCCGCCGTTTCACGGCTCATTGAAGAAGTTAAAATGCTTGTCGCAAATGCAGAAACTGAAATTTTGTTATCTGCAACAAGCGAAACCGAAATGCAACAACTCAATCTTAAACTACAGAAAACTGAGCGCAAATCACTCAAAAATTCTGGTAAGTAGTCAGTGAATTTTTGAATTGAAGTGAGCCAAAAAAGGTCTATACAGGTTTTCTTAGAAAGCAGTGTTATTTGCATACTATTTCTTTCCATACATTCCTTATTTAAGCTATTTATGATTAGGATAGTTTAACTTCAACCGACCAAAATGTTTTCAATATAATTCCGGAGAAAATCCCTTTACGATATCTTATGCATTGTCTATTCAATGATATCTCACTTAAACAAACTTTTATTTTATGGAGAATGTATTTTAATAATACTCACGTGGATTCAGCTCTCCCTATACTTCACTTGTAATGAAAATAAAATTAATAAATTATGAATTTTTAAGTGATAAAGCAGATAAATTCCCATCGCAGATAAACTTAAGAATTAAAAAAAAAAGGTACAATGTTTCTATTAGTATATGCTCCAAATGGATACCAATTTTACAAATGCATTCTGTATACAAATTCATACTAATTGCATACTTAAATTTATACATGTAATCCTCGATAATAGTTCTTTATCATAATTATCTTTTATCCTAACATTTAAATTTCCTCAATATGATTTGTTGAAGATTCCATTTTGATCTACTAATATTACTTTTTCTCATTGTATTATTTATAAGTTAAAATTATTAAAATTAAAAATCATTCAAAACCGACAACTTTATGGGAAGTGGAATAATGTAGGAAAAATTTTTGCGGCGCGTAAAGTAAAATGCGGGAAAAGAAACTTAAATAATATTTTAAAAGTTATCAAGAGCTTCCTCACTTCTTAAATCAATACATTCGTTTTTAAAATCTTTTCCACAAACTGAAAATATGTTGTATAAGATGATTTTGAAAAATATCGCATCAATTGACATTTTTGCAACACTAGGTGACTCAAAAAATTTTCACTAGTTTTAGCCAGTCAAGATTTACCACTACTTGAGGAAAAATTTCCCCCTAGCTGCTCTTGCGGTTAGAAATAAGAAGTAGAAGTCTCGAGATTTTAACGTTTCCAGTAGTAAATGTATGTAAACAGTCACTATATTAGGATATCTATTACTAGTAGCAATTTCCCATGCAATTTTTTGATAATCATTGATAATATGGTTAAAAATTGTGATATGAAAATTAACCTGTTACTTATATTGATCATGAACGGATCACTAATGTTAATTGATTTAGTCATCCTAAAAAGGGTACCACTAGCGGTACATTGACGTGCATTTAATAATTTTGAAGCAACTTACCTTCATTTGGAATTTTCTATTATGTTATATGATCTAGAAGTGTTGATATTTCAGGCTTATAACTGAAAGTTTTTAGTTAAACCCAAATGTTTGAGAAAGTTTTGTTAATGATTGGCTGTTTTAATGTCTTGATAGATACACTGAATAAAGTATTATCATAAGTATTAATATCCTGTTGTTGATTAAGTTCTATTAAGTTCTATTAAGTTCCTCTTTCACGAATAGTAAAGACCATACATTTTGTCAACTAATGTAAATTCATTTCAGAAATTGATCATAAACGTGAAGATGCAGGAAAAGAATCGCAAGATATTGACAAGGTTACAGTTTTTCTTCTCTTAACTACAGCACATTCATGGACTTTAAGTATATTTATTTTTACAAACTTTTCCATTTAAAAGATAAGTGATAAGTAGCAATATAATTTTATTTTTTAGGGAAACAAAGAGAAGCCTAAAGAAGGAATAGAGAAAAAGAAGAAGAAAATACCAAAAGCGCTTGTAATTCCTGCGGAAATAAGCTCTAAATATGGTGATAAAAGTACGCTTCTATCTGAGACGATTATGATAGCAGAAATTGTAATGAATGAAGAAACGGCAGAAGTTAAAACATCACCGAAGAAACCTCTCTCGGCTTCTCTTTCATTAAAAGTGGATTCTGCCAAGAATCGTAAATCCGTCAGTCGACGAGCATCTTCTGCAGAAAATTTCACGTTTAAAGACATTGAAAAAGAAGCGGAAATTGAAGTAGCTAAAGAAAGTATGGGAGAAACGAAAAAGCGAACTGGCTTACCACCACTTCCCAAAACAAAAAAAGAGATGGAAGTTGAGTTTGTTTTTGCACAGGATGAATATCAAGAAAATACCGAGAATATCTTCCCTATTAAATTTAATGAAGAACTTGTAATAGCTATACAAGCAATAGCAAAGAGTCAAAAGAAAAAAATGGAAAAGGCAAAGAAAGATTTGGAGGAAGAGAAGCAGGAGGAAAAATCGATAAAAGAATTGGAAGAAACTGAGACGATTGAATTAGCACGGACTGTCAAAGATAGTGAAAAAGAAGAAGCTTATGAACGTGTTCGAAGGAAACGTGTCGGATTCATTCAGCCACCTGATAAAGAAATTATTGCATTCCGTGGTGATACCATTAAAATTGAATGCGAACTGGTGAATAATGATGATTGCACGTGGCTCATTAATAATAAACCTGTAAGTGAAGATTCAAGATGCAATGAGGAAGTTAATTCATTGATAAGAACACTAACAATTACGAATATTTCACCAAAAGATAATGAAACGATAATCGTTGCAAAAGTAGGCGATGTTGTCGCTGAAACGATTATTCATGTAGAAGATACACCAGCAGAGATTATTGAGCCGCTACCACGTCGTAGTTTTGGTAAATGCGGTGAAGATGTAGTACTTGCTGTATCTGTCACGCATCCACCGTATTCCATTATTTGGGAATTCAACGGAGAGAAATTGTCGGAAGATGATAAAAATTATGTGATTGCTGGGGAAGGGAATACTTACACATTAACAATCAAAAATGCCACGTATGATCATGCTGGGCGTTATTCCATAAAGGTGGATTCATTAGAAACTTCCACAATGCTAATAATGCAAGGAGCACCAATTGTTGAGAAACAGGAACCGGAAAGTGTTGATTTCGAAGTTCATGAAAACCTTCTTCTCAGTATTCGTTGTAAATCAGTACCGGAACCAACGATTGCTTGCTTCTTTAACAATGAGCCATTGTTAGTTGGAACAAAATTGAAACTTGAAATTATCAACGATGTGGTTCAGTTTTGCAAACGGAAAACCAATAAAAATGATTCTGGTGAATATACTTTCAAGATCAGCAATGAATTTGGCGAAGCTGTCAAAACGTTCACTGTTAATGTTAAAGGTTTTTTTTTAATATTTTTTCTAAGATTTGAATAAGAATTGAATAAAAGTAGTCCGGAAATGTTAAACAATTCAATTTTTGAAGAATGAAAAGATAATGGAAACAAAAAATTGCAAATATAGCTTAATGGACGTGTTGGTTCTATATCACAAGCATTCTTTTACAGATATATTCACCAGTGGTTCTATATCACAAGCATTCTTTTACAGATATATGCGATGCTCCTAGAAATCTGCGAATTACGGATATTTCTCGTGATACAGCAAGTATAAAATGGGAGGCTCCAAAGGATAGTGGTGGTAGCAAAATTATTGGTTACATCATTGAGAAAAAGGAAATTGGTCGTCGAACATTCCATCATGTTATTCAGGTAAATCATTCTGATATGCGCAAATGAAGATAATCAAAATTTTTGTTATGAATATCTTTGTTACTGCTTTTTACTTCAATTTTTGGAACTTGTTGAATGATATGTTATATTTCTTCTAGTTTTGATAGTTCTTCCATTCTTTAATAACTGCATTATTTCATTTGTAGGTGACAGGTGACAAAACGAACTGTCTGATTGAAGATCTTGATGCGGACACCGAATATAATTTCCGTGTTGCCGCCGTTAACAAGTATGGCACTGGTGAATTTGCTGAATTTCCTATCGCACATACTAGTGCTGCACCAGAAGAATCTGAAGAGATATCAGAAGAAGAAATGCAGCTTAGGAAAACTCCGGAAAACATGGATGAGGAACAAGAATTAATTGAATCGAAAAAGCAAAAAGTCAAGAAAGCTGTAAAGAAGGATAAGTCTAAAAAGACTGAACAACTTGAAGAGGAAATGAAACAAGTTGCTAGTGAAGAAAGGCATGAAAATATTTCAGATTTTAAGGAAGATGCTGTAACCGCCAAAGATCTCGAACAGCATGACGTATCTGAACTCGAAATAGAAAAAGTGGAGGAGACATTGACAAGAGTTAAAAGCCCTGAAGAAAAAGTGAAAGATGAAGTTCTTGCTATGGATAAGGAGAAGGTCGGAAAGTCAGATATTGTCGAAGACGAGGAGCAGAAGCCGAAGAAAACAAAAAGAAAGAAGACTAAAAAAGAAGAGAAGCCTTCTGAAGAAATAATTCCGACAACTGAACAGAAATCTGTTGAGGCAGCTGAAAGTTTTGTTGAAGATAATGTTAACAAGGCTGTAGAGGTAGGGAAGGAAACTATTGAAGATTATGCTGGACATATCGAGCAGGAGGTGAAGGATAAAGTTCTTGCGATGGATAAGGAGAAGGTCGGAAAGTCAGATATTGTCGAAGACGGGGAACAGAAGCCGAAGAAAACAAAAAGAATGAAGACCAAAAAAGAAGAGAAGCCTTCTGAAGAAATAATTCCGACAGCTCAACAGAAATCTGTTGAGGCAACTGAAAGTTTTGTTGAAGATAATGTTAACAAGGCTGTAGAGGTAGGGAAGGAAACTATTGAAGATTATGCTGGACATGTCGAGCAGAAGATTGGTGATAAGATTCCCTTAAAGAAAGAAAAAGCAGTTACTGGAGAAATGAAATATGTAAATGAACTGGACAGAAAGAAATCAGAAGGGAAGAGAAGTTATGCGGAAGAAACAGTTGCATTGAGTACTGAAGGAAAGAAGTTTGAAAACAGACTTGGTAAAAAAGTTTTACAAGGAGGAAAGAAGTCTGCAGAAACAGCTGTAGAATTCGAAGTGGAAGAAAACTTCGAAATAAAACATGGAAAAGAGAAAGAAGTCGACGTTGATGAAGTTTCTGAGACTGTAAAACTTGGTAAAATAACTGAAGGGGTTGCATTAGAAGAAGAATCAATAATTGAGGGAAATCAAGAAATTAAAAAGAAAAGAAGTAAAGAGGTAATTGCTGCTAAAAAGGCTGCCGTTGACGTCGCAAATGAAAGACGTAGTGTGCAACTTGAGAAACAAGATATTATTGCAGAAGAAATTACAACATCTAAAATAATGAAGATTGAAGCAGAAAAAGCAATCAAAAAAGATGATAAAGAAGGATCTAAGAAAGATAAGTCAAAAGTTAAGAAGAAGGAACAGCGTGCGGAACAAAGGGAGAAAACTGACGAGATAGTCAGCGCTGACGTGTTCTTCAAAAACATTTCAAACATCGAAAATGTTTGCAAAGTTATCTCAACTTTGGGAAATAAGGAAATAATTTCTACCACTGTGAAAGCAACTTCGAAGACGAAGAAATCAAAAACGCCAAAAGAACTGATAAAAGAGAAGCCAGAAGATATGCTAAAAACACAGGAAGATAAGCCCGAGGCTGAAAAACTGGAAGCAAAGTTAGAAGTGGATGAGGAGGTTGAAAGACCTGAAAAAGAAAAATTCCAAGATGATGTATTGAAACGGTTGGACTCAGGACAAGAAGTTGAGGAAAGAAAGCCTGTCGAAGATAAAGAAGTAAAACCGAAAAAGGTTGCCGACAAAAAAGTCGTCAAAAAAGCATTGAAGAAGCCTAAAGTTGAAAATGAAATGGCAAAGAAAAGTGTGGAGGAGGATGTAAAACAGAATGAGGATGAGATCCGAGATGTGCATGTGGAGGAAAAGTATGTTAAAGAGGAAAAAGTGAACGGATTCAAAGATGAAGTTGAAAAACTAGATAGCATTTCTGATGTTGACGTTACTGTTAATATACCGGCGAGTGAAATATTGGAACTAGAAGATAGTACTAGAATAATAACACCGTCGCACAAGGATGAGATACCAACTGCACGACGAGTGCGTAAACGTCCAAGTGGCTTTGTCCTACCTCCACAGCGGCAAATTCTGGCATTTCGAAATGATACGGTTAAAATTGAGTGTGAAGTTTTTAATGAAGAAGATAAGATTAATTGGACAATTAATGGAAAACCAGCTACGGATGACATACGATGTACGGAAGTTGTGGATGGATATCTAAGAATTTTGCAAATTAAAAGTGTTGTTCCAGAAGACACGGATATGGTCATCACAGCTAGCATTCATGAGCATTCTGCAGAAAGTCGTTTAATTGTAGAGGATATACCAGTTGAAATCATCGAAAAATTACCGCGTAAGATCACAGCTAAAATGGATGATTCCGTAAAATTATCGATAACCGTATCACATCCAGATCAAAATTGCCAATGGTTCTTTAATAAAGAACAATTAATCGAAAATAACGATCGTTACGAAGTAAATGTTGAAGGCAATATTTGCAGTTTGCTGATAAAGAATTTAGCTTATAACCAAACTGGTCGCTACTCAGTAAAGGTAGATTCTGCCGAAACATCAACCATTCTAACCGTTGAAGGAGCACCGATGCTTCATGAAGCCGAAACTATTATAACAACAGTTGATCTGGAATCACAAGACAATTTAGTACTAATGGTACCGTTTAAAGCAGTGCCGGAACCAACGGTAGAATGTCTTCTTAATAACGAAAAGATTCCAAGCAGTTTAAAAACACAACTGGATATTTTCAATGATAAAGTATGCTTTCGCAAACGTAAAGTGGACAAAAATGATGCTGGCGAGTATACGATCAAAATCAGAAATGATTATGGCGAAGTTTCACAGACATTTTTTGTCAATATCAAAGGTCACTTTTCCTTTTTAAATTAAATATCAAATTAATTGTCATTTAAGTCACTTGCATGTATTGATAATAGTTGAATTAGTACCATAATGATATAAACACATCAGCAGTACGCGAAGATATATTTTATTATTAACCGATAATTCTGATTTGCTCTATTAGCAAAAAATTGAAAAATGATTTTCAAATTTTCAAGAAATAATTCTTTTAGCATTGTTTCAAAATCAGTTTTTTTAATACCACTTGTGATGATTAGAATTAAGTTATTCATTTATTTATTTCATTATAATTTTGCTCTTCCAAAATTTTTTTCAAATATTAATTTTATATTTATTCAAACATCAATTAAACTATCATCGGTGCAATACTTCTGGTACATTACTTACTAAAGTTTTACTCAACCCTTGATTTTAAAATATATTCATCATGAACTCATGAGTATGTGCTTATTTTTTGAGTTGTATTGTCTGGTCAAACTAGTATGATGTGTGATATATCTTGATGATATATCTCGCTATTAAATTAAAAGAAATATGAGGTCACACAAGACAGAGATTGAAATAGAGAAAGGCTTGTTTGGTAGTGTTTACAATTCCTCTTTTTCACCTGTTTTAAATTGATTTGTATTCTTCGTTTATGATTGTTCACGACGCTCATTTGGTCAAAATCGAATTCAAATTTAAATTTAACTAATTCGACGATTAATACTAATTCTTAATCAATATAACCACATCTTCGTGACTCCGAGGTATAAAATGCATTATCTAATTCTCTTTTACATCTTCTAAATAAATTGATATTTATATATAATTTTGCAGATGTACCAGGACCTCCCAAAAACGGACATATCACAGATATTGGCAGTTCCTGTGCGAGGGTGCACTGGGAAGCTCCTAATGATGATGGTGGTAGTGCTATCACAGGTTATATTGTAGAGAAAAGAGAAGAATCGAGAAGAGCTTTTCATCGCGTTGCTCAGGTTTGTTACTATGCCATCATTGAAATCAGTCCAGTATAGATCATCGCAATCAGTGATAACAGTTCAGGTGTCGAGTGAGGAAATGGATTATTATATCGATGATCTGAAGATGAATACGTCCTACACAATTCGAATAGCAGCCATGAACAATTATGGTGTTGGTGAATATTTAGAATGTGCTTCGTTTCAAACATCCTTACCATTTGAAGCACCAACTATAACACATCCTCCAGTTGTCAGCAATATTACCGACCAGGTGAGGAACAATCGCTCTTCAAATTAATATTTTTTGTAGTATTAAATATCATTTCGTAGTATACTACCAAGAAATCTTCATCTGTTTCACTGCTTTCTAATTTTTATATATAGTCAATATAAATCGTTATTATAAGTTATCGTTTTATCATGTAAGCTGAATACTGGTTGATTGCGATTTATTGATATCCACTTTTTTTCCGCAATTTGTGGAGAGCTGATTTTATCGTTGATCACAAAAATACAGTTTTCACAGTTGGAATGTGAATGATTCATTTAGTTTGCAGTTATATATATAATTAATCTATAAAAATATATATGATATGTTATTAGTATAACAACTGATAAATTATGATGCAGTTGGAATTCCAAAATATCATCTCCTTCCTAGACATCTTTGCACTATAACTGATAAATTTCATGACTAATTTCAAAATGTTTTTTCTCTCTCTTTCTCTGTCTCTCTCATTTTTGATTAATAGTTTTTTTGGTTTTTTCATCTTTTTTTTTAAAGAGTTGTACACTGAAATGGGAAAGAGTAACGGAAGATGGTGGTTCGCCAATTTATGGATATGATATGTTCGTACGAAAAGATAAAGGTGATTGGGTAAAAGTTAACGATGAAATGATATTCACAGAACAATTCACTGTTTCTAATATTGAAACTGGACCAACTTATGAATTCAAAGTGGAAGCAACAAATGAAGCAGGTCTTACATCAAAATCAGATGTCATATCGGAACCCCTTGTAATTATCAAAGCAGGTGAATATCTACTATCAATTTTTTTGCTCTTTTTTAGTAGCTTTATAAATGTGCTAATATTTCAGAAGTTTTTATTCCTGAAAAACTAAGGCTTCCTGAGGCACTAATTTGGGAGGATTTAAAATATTCTGTTGTAGCGGAATTACCGATTTTGAGCTTACCAACAGTAGAACTTGTAAGCGGAGATACGGTTCGCGTTCAATGGATTGATGTTATGGAGGAGAGCTGCAACGTGACATCTTACGTAATAATGTACAAGTCGGAAAATGCATCGCTTTGGTCGGAGGTAGAATATTACTTGCTTCATTTGATCCTCTCATTTTAATATTTGTTATTTTTATTTAATAAAAATGTAAATGAAAGGAAACTAGTAATTAAAGTTTTGAAAAAATGTTATTCTAAGTGACTGAAAACCTTTTTGGTAACAAATCATTCATTCTAGAAGGAAATAGAACGCTCACCTGCGGACATAAATGGTTTGAAGGAAGGATTATCATATCTGTTTAAAGTTGCACCAAAAAGTGGTCCAACAATCGGTGAATTTTCTGAGGAAACAATACCGATACGTATAGTTGGTAAGTTTGAATTTTTTTATAAGATCGAATTTACTGAAACTTTGGGGTACGATCCTTTTGAACGGGTGGATATTTTGTATCTTTAGTAAGAATGTCCAACTTATTCTGCTATTCTATGCTTTATATATTTTCAGCAGCTAAAAAGCCTGAAATAACAAAAAGTATCAGAGATATTTCGGTTTCACGCAAACGTGAACTTAAATTGGAATGTCATGCAACTGGAGAACCTACTCCACAATACATCTGGTACAAGGATAATCAGGAAATCGTCCCAGCTGCCGAAAATATTGAGGTTGTTCTGATTGATATGTAAAGCAGAAATCTTGAGTATATGATTAAGATGGTTATATTGTCATAAATGTAATGAATGCAAGGAGATGTTTGGAAACCGTTTTCATAATGTTACACTTGTATTTTCAGTTATCTAATTCTTCATATTAGTTTTATTAAAATTTTAAATTTACTATTAGTAAATTGGAAAGCTGAATGAAGTAAGTTTTACAGATCATCAATGAAGGTAGCATGAGCATTCTCTTAATTCATCATACATCCACAGCAGATGGCGGTTTGTACAGATGCGAAGTTGTTAACGATCATGGTTCAGCAGAATCAGAGGCTTTAGTCACTGTCACAGGTATTTCTGTAATTCCTATCAAAATTCGAAATTACACACTTCCTATTAGAAATTGTGTTCATTTGACTGTTGCACCTTATTTCATATGTTCTTTAAATTGAGCTGAAATCTTGCAGAAGTTCGGGCACATTTTGTTTCTTCATTCCCCGAATATGTTGAAATTGACGAAGGAGAAGAAATTGGATTTTCATGTGAGCTGTCCGATGCTGATGCTTCTGTTGTTTGGTTGAAGGATGGCAAACCCTTGCCATCTGATGATCGGATAATGATCAAAGAGGATGGGGTTGAAAGAAAGCTTACAATTAGAAATGCAGTACTTGAAGACAGTGGCAAATATGTATGTAGCACTATTGATAAAAAGACTCAATCTGAAGCAGAGCTGATTGTCAAAGGTAATTAATCCATTTGTTTCTAAATCGCTACTTTCATCGTTATTTTAACGATATTCCAAAATTCTAAAAGAAGTTTACTATTGGAAAGTAATGATTATAAATTTTGCAGAAGAACTGCCGCACATCAAAAGAGGTCCACAAGATCAGATTGTTACTGAATTTAACACTACCATTACGTTGAAATGCGAAACTACTAAGTCAGTAAAAGCTGTGAAATGGTTGAAAAACAAAAAAGAAATTTGGCCACGACAAGAGAAATACAGCATGAATGTGGAGGGAACTGTTGCAACACTAACGATTATGCACTTCGAGCTCAATGATTGCGCCGAATATAAAGTAGCGCTTCGTGAGGATGAAGAAAGTGCGCCAGCTAAAGTAGAGCTTAAGATACCACCAATGATCAAATTATCGAAAGTTTTACCAAATAATGCAGTGAAACTGCACTGTGGCACTGATTTTGATATCGAATTCGATTACGAAGGATTTCCTGAGGTCGATATCAATACGACTATTAACGAAAAACCATTGAATAAAATGAGATCTCGTATACATACTTATAATAATAAGCTGTCATTACGTCTCAAAAATGTAATTCAGGAAGATTCAGGTGTACTAAAAGTTGTGGTAGAAAATGAAATTGGAAGCGCAAGCGAAGAGATTCAATTGTATGTAATCAGTGTGCCTTCTAAACCACTTAATTTGACAGCTTTCAATATAACAAGCCGTTCTGTAATGCTCAAATGGGAGAAAGCAGAAGATAATGGATCTCCAATTACAAATTATATCGTTGAAAGAAGAACAACAGATACCAAACGTTGGCGCAATATCGGAAAATGTAAATCGGAACAATATGAATTTCTGGTTGAAGAGTTATACCCAAGCGAAAGTTACTCTTTCCGCATTATTGCTGTGAATGAAGTTGGTGAAGGAGCGCCAAGCAATGTAGTTGATGTAGTGACCATGAATGAAAGGGTTGAATTGGAGACAACAACAAAACTTTTGTTAGCACCTAATTATTTGAAAGGAACACTTGTCGAGGACGGCAAAATTATTTTAATAACATGGGAGAAAGTTGAGGAAGCTGAACAATATATCATTGAACGATCGAAATTAGAAAATTATTGGGAGCAGATTGGTGTAACAGTAGAATCGAAGTTCGAGGATTCTTTTGATGAAAGTTCGAGTAACAAATATCGTGTTATTGCAAAGAAGGATGATCTTTTATCCAGTCCCAGTGAGGAAATAGAAATAGTCAACGGTCTTGATTATAAAGAGAAAGAAATAGACCAATTGGAAAATAAGACTATTGAAATGTCTCAAGAAATTTCTGATATGAATGAGACGAAGCGACAAGAGACAGTGGAGCAAAAATCTGAAAAACTAGATGATCAGATTAAGCAAGAAAAAGTGGATAAAAAAGTTGGGAAAAAGAAAGAAGGTAAAGAGAAGGGGAAAGTTGAGGTAGTGGAAAAATTAGAGGATGCTGAGAAACAGGAAATTAATGCTGAAGGAAAAGCAGAAACGAAAGCGGAACTAGAAAATGAACAAGAAGAAATTAAAGTTGGAAGAAAGGTAGAAGACGAATTTAAATCCCCGGAAAAAGTAGTCGAAGACATTGAGGAAAAAACTGGATCGAAAAAAGTTGCTAAGAAGGGAATTCAGAAGAAGAAAAAAGCGAAGAAGGAAGAAATTCCCAAAGATGAAGTTGAAGTAACCAAAAATTTTGAAGAGGAAATGATTAAAGCTGAAGAGAAATCGGGAATGGATTTCGAGGGAGAAAGAGAAAAAGATAAAATAAAATCAAACGAAGAAAAAATTAAATCAATGGAGAAAGTCAAGAAAGCAGAAGTTGAAGAGACATTGAAAGAAAAACATTTAGAAAAGAAACTGGAAGGAAAACCAGAGAAAAAAGTAGAGGTTGTGCAAAAAACAGAATTATCAGAAGCTGTGAAGGTTGAACCTGATAAGGATTCTGAAATAAAGAAAAGTGCAGAAGTAAAGCAAGAAGATGGAAATTTGTCGAAGAAAAAGAAGACAACGAGCAAGCAAAGGCCGAAGGAAACTATGGAACAGAAATTAGAGGAGTCAATTTCCCAAGACGTAATATCCAATGATTTGATTGCTGAGAAGAAAAAAGAAGAAGAAACAGTAATGCAAACGGAAAAGTTAGAAGTGAAATCTGTTAATAATTCGGTAACGGTTAATTACGGAATGAAGAGTTTCGAATTGAGAGTAGATATCAGCGGTAATTTCGATGAGTGCTTTTGGACGAAAGATGGAAAAGCAATTGACGACAAGTTAGTAAAAACCACAGCGAATAACTCAGTTTTACGCCTTGAAAATATTGATGAATTGGCGGCAGGACTGTATCATTGCACGGCAACGAATAAGATGGAGAAAGCAACCGCTGAAATTTGCGTTACTGTTGCAGGTTATACGTTTGTTGCATAGAAATTTATTAGTAATATTATGGAACGATGAAAATGAAGTTGAATAATCAGGAAAATAAAGATAAGCAAAGATACAACAACACAGTACGGTGACCTTTTAAATGGCATAGTTTTTAGAAAATTTTAGAAGCTTCAAAGAAAATAATCGAACCAATATTTCAGACAAGCCAAAAATTGAATTTGACGAAGCTGTCATTGGAGTAAGAAAATTTTAAAAGCTTCAAAGAGAATAATCGAACCAATATTTCAGACAAGCCAAAAATTGAATTTGACGAAACTGTCATTGGAGTAAAAGATGGTGAAATGTTAAAAATTCATGCAAATGTTACGGGACTGCCGATACCAACTTGCAAATGGTTAAAAGATGGTGTGGAATTAAAAACAGATAATAATACCATCATTACATTCAAAGAAGGTGTTGCTGTCTTAACGATCAAAAAAGCAAATGTTGGTAATTCAGGTCTTTATAAGTTGATTGCGGAAAATATATACGGAAAACAAGAAAATCAGGTTGAACTGCAAGTTAAAGGTTGGTATTATTGACATTGTTTGTCACTGATTTTATTAAGCTTAGAAATGTTACGATGGTTCGATAATTCATTTGGTATTCTTTTAATAATGACATATCGCTTATGGTAGCACTTACTAATGCGCCTTATTTTGATAACAAATTGATTAAATTACAAGTGATCTATTTGTTGATTATCAAAATTATCTCAGAAATTAGCAGCGATAAAAATGGTAATTAGATAAGAAAATCGTGAAATTATGAAGTTGAATAGAATTGTTATCGAATTTAATATTTTTCAGGGAAGCATAGATAATCTCTCAATTGTGAAATTCTTTCAGGTGCTCCATCTGCTCCAGTTGGTCCGTTACAAATATCTGATATAACAAATGTTTCATGTAAACTTGCATGGTATCCTCCAGAGCAAAATGGTAATAGTAAGTTACTCGGTTACTGTATCGAAAAACGTGATGCGAAGAAATCAAGTTGGGCATTTGTCGCACGTACTACATCAACAAATGCAGTTATAACTGGTTTAACTGATAGTGCAAAGTATTACTTCCGTGTTACAGCTGAAAATGCTTTCGGTACTGGATCAGCTTTAGAAAATAACGAACCCGTACAACCGATAAAAATTACTGGTAAATAATGTTAATTCATATTGTTTCTTTTGTAGGGAATTTTTTGTAATACGTGAAAAATTTTATATACATTAATTGATCATTTTAACTATGTGATTATATTCACGGCAAATTTAAATGTAACTTGATGGAAGTTAAGTCTAATTACTTTCGATGGCAACTAAGTATGTAAACAAGGATTCCCGATATACATTATTCAAACAGAAGCCTTTTTGGTGGAAAAGAATCTTTTCCAGTTATTTTTAAAGTAACTTTGCGGTCGTTTTTAATCATTTTCGATTATAGCAACTGAAAAGCCGAAGATTAAGAAAGCACCAGAAAAAGAGATTGGTCGAGCAGGTGATAAACTTATACTTAGTGTAGAATTTACTGCTGAACCAGTACCCGAAGTTCATTGGTATAAAAATGGTAAAGAACTGTTTGATGATGTGAGCAGTACTATCACAAAAATGGATAAGAAATCAGTATTTACAATCCAGAAACTTGTTGAGGATGATGAAGGAGACTATCAGGTATAGAATATATTAATAATTAAGCCTATCTTAAAAGTTTTTCTTTTACGAAAGTAAATTAATTACTGTATTCTCATCTGATTTGAAATTTGTCGACAGGAAATTTTTGTTGTTTCTTTGTGATCATTCCATTCAGCATTCATGGGATTCGTTTAGGTTACTGTAGAAAATGAAGCCGGTAAAGCACAACATAAAATCAGCGTAGAAGTAAAATCGGAACCAATGATAATTGATGCTGACAAATATAAAGAGCCACAAGTTTTCCATAAAGGTGAAAACGTCAAGCTACAATTCGCTTTCACTGGTGAGCGTTCTCTCTCAACTTCTAACAATTTTTCAGATCATATGATATATCATAACATCATTAGTGATTTTGATGTGTTTCACTCTAATCTTTTATAGATTTGAATAACCTGTGTGTAACAAAGAAGTTAAAATTACGTGGAATTTATGACTGAACTTTTTAGAATCCACCCATTTTTATGATTTCAACTTTTTACATAATCTTGAATTATTATTAAGACCCTTGTGATACTTTGGTTCTTTTCATGAAGAAGTGAAATTTCTAGTCGGATCCAATTCAAAATAAAAACCTTAACTATTTCATTTTGTATAATATTTCAAAACTTCTGGTTCTTCAAAATATTTTTTATAGTCTGACTTCATTGAATTAACACTGGTTCTAAAACTGATTTAGGGAGTTTTTCAGCTGAATTATTGCGATATTGTCGTAGATACCGTAAAAAGGAGGAGAGTGAATAATATCTCTTGTTGCGTGGAAAACTTTTATTAAATTCGGAGCAAAATTTGTACAGATTCGTAAAAAAACCAGATAAAAAAACCAGATTGACGAAGTCATCCATCATTTGAAATAGTAAAATGATGTAATTGGAAATTTCAATCCTAAAATTCGTAACAATGATAGAGTTCCAAATTGCTTCCTATTTTGCGATCTACTAAAAGATTTTTTATTAAACATTTAAAAAATCGTCATGAGGATATTTCAAGATCTCATTAGTAGTTCCTAGGGAGTTAACCTGATTACCTGATCTTAGCTTGCAGACTACTTTTGAATAAACTAAAATGTTATTAAAAGAATTGGTTGAAAGTATGTTCTAAAGAAAAAATTTTAAATTTAAATCAGAGGTAATCTATATTCTGCACAGATAGTAACTTCATTTGATATTACCTTAACGGATTACCTTAACGAATGTAAAATATATACACTTGAGATGATAAGAGGGACAGCAAGTAAGAAATTGAAGTGAATTCAAGCCGATATTGGAAATTTTTTTACTAATGAAAGATTGAGATGAGTGATAGCACGGCGAGTAAATTACAGTTACAACATTATGAATCTTCATTAACAATTTTTTTGTTTAATATCGATTGAATTCTTCGTTCCTGTCCTATTTTATCAAATCTTTGCTGCTCCACTTGTTGCTCATCCTGTGCAACTTTAATGAAATTGTCCACAATAATCGTAATCGGTAAAGCTAACACTAATACACCACACATTATTGCTGCTGATGCGATAATTTTGCCCACTACAAACGATAATTATAGGTGTGATAAGAATTGTCTACTAAATTAAGGATAAATTAATTGATGATTGTGATTATGATTTTTACGAATTTTGCTTTAGATTTCAAGGATAATTGAAATAAGAATTACTTGCTGTTGCTGGAACAGCATCGCCATAGCCAACTGTTGTCATTGTTACAATACCTGTAGTATCAGTTAGAATATATTTCAGTTTTAATAGTATTATTTAATCTTCATTAAGTGTTAATCTATTTTGGATGGTAAGATAGAATAGATTATAATTTTGATAAGAAATAACTGAATTTAATTATTTCAAAATAGTTTTGATATGAATACACTTAAGATTAATTTATGATTAAAAAAGATGAAAAATAAGGAATAATAACTTACACCACCAATAGGCAGCAGGTATACTAGTAAATGGTGTTCCATCTTCATCCTTTTCTAAAAAATAGATCATCGTGGAGAAGAAAACAACACCAGTGAGCAATACAATTGTCATCATTTGTAGTTGTTTTTGACTCCTTTGTAATGTCATACCAAAAGTTTGTAGACCAGAACTAAATCTGCCCAGCTTAATAATTCGTATCACTCGTAGAACCCGTAATATACGAACCACTAAGAAGGCCCAACGTAAATCACGCAATTTTTTGTCATCCACACCACATAATGTTAATATTAATTCGAGATAGAATGGAATAATTGCCATCAAATCTACCAAATTTAATGGTTTTAGTGTAAAACGAAATTTCCTTGGTGCAGCAAATAGTCGAAGGCAATATTCGACAGTGAAAAATGCTATACAAATACGTTCCGTTAATACAAAAATTTGATGCTCAACTCGCATTTCTTCAATTTTTTCCACTACCGTTATAGTACCATTTGGAAGCAAAATTGTTTCATTATGAGCAGGCAAATACTGGATCACCTAAAAATGACCAGTATCAATTTCTCAAACTTGAATTCTCAAATTGATCTTAGCATCAGAAGAAATTAGCATAAATAAGATTAACAAAGTTTTAAAAGAACAGAGAGAAGATAAACAATTTGTTGTAGTGTTTTCTACGCTCATCTTTAATATTGTTAATAATACGCTGTAAACCGGTAAGCATTAATGATCTCTGATATTTTAGGAAGGAATCAAAAACATGAGTAAACTAACATGGACTAACATGAGTAAACTAACATGGACTAACATGAGTAAACTTAGTGATTGAGTTTTATCAGATAGTAGATGATAAAGTTGTGAAGCGATGATAGTGATAGCAACTGCTCTTAGTAACAGAAGAATGATCAAACAAATTTTTAATTCTTATGTACTTACTATCTGTTGTATTTCCTAAACAAAAACGTATGATGTAAAATTTGGGTTATGAAAACAAACCTGAAAGTCTGGAATAGTTCCGAAGCTTAGACCCATAACAGATATAGCAACAAACAAAGTTGAAGATAGTTCAAATGCTTTAGCCTGAACCGATGAACCAGGTCTTTCCAGAAAAGTCCACATCTTCCTCCTTACTTTCCCGAACATCAAATTATCAAAACTTTTATAATCAACCTGGAAAAAAAGTCGATTTTCTAACTTTATCTTCAAATTTCTGGAAAATAACTGAAAATATACTTTTTCTTCCTCCTTCTCCTCGAATCGATCCCGGGCTATGATATCGGCACAACATGAACTAATAGATCGATAGGAAATTCCCCAAAACTCCAACTCTGATAAAAAAGCATTAGGACAAATTTCCGGTGGCCTATGCACGACACCGGTTGCATAATATTGAAATACAGCATCAAATGCATATGGAGATCGTTGAAAATAATATGCATCTTCAGATGCTATATAGGCATCTGCTACCTGAAATGAAACAGAATCATATGAATTAATTCTTTGATATACATTGAAGAGAATTTGTAATCACTACTTATTCTAACATTCTTACAAGTTAGGCCTGAAAGAGAATAAATTTCGTTTCAAGTCTTCAAATCAATTAATTTACAAGTTTTAACTTGCTAGTTTTTTTAAGCTTAAAAAGGTACTTTAGGGATTTCTTTTAACAATAATTTTTCACACTCTTATTACGGTGCTCTTTAATTTGCCTGCTTTTTATATAATGTAATTCTTAGATAACATTCAATAAAGGCCTGTCAAATTATTAATTTCTATTGTTCCTTCAAAACAAAATATTTTCTAAATGCATTGTATCGATTTTTTTTCATTGAAGGAAAAATTTCTCAACCTATTTTCCTGTTAGTTTATGTGAGAAATACGAACCTCCAATCTGGATTTATGATTCAGCTGAATAAATTTAGGAAGAAAACCAGTTAATTCTGCTTGTAGAATGGTTTCTATCAATAGTATATATGAGGTACCACCAATATTAAGCCTAAGAAGCATTGGTTCGCCATCATCATTACGTCTACTAAGTGGTATTGCCTAAAAAGCGAAAAAAATTTGAATATTACCCAGGAATTGATAACGTAGTTAACAGATAGTGATATGATATTGATAAGAGGACTTGAAAAATAACTTTGGTATCTTCAAAAAAAAATTGAAAAGCTTGAGACAATTCAAAATGATATTTTATTTAATGAATAAACTTCAGATAGTTGGGCGGCTATATAATTATTTGAATATGTCACCTGGAAGCAATCTGTTCCGCTTCCCCAAATTTCATTGAGAAGGCTTGCATTATTTCTTCCGGTCTTTACCACCACATCACTTTTGCGATACGAAACAAGCCGTTTCTTGTGATGTTGGGAAGCACTATAAAAATTCCTTATTTTTGCTTCAATTCCTTTTCCTTTTTTCTAATGAATAATAAAAGCTGCTTCGTGATATCTTCCGATTTTCCTCCTATTTATTCAATTAAAAGAAAAGAAAATTTGCTATAAATTTAAAAAAAGCAAATCTTCCTTAGAATCAATTTCACCAATAATTTCGTAGGACTTATTTTATGAATTTAACAATGCAAAGATCGAGATTTTCAGGTTCAATTTTATAATGGTACAATTTTTGAACTTGAAATAACTGAAATAGCTAGGGTGAATTTTAGCAATTCATTACATGCTTAATTAGGAGTTAATTTTTTGACGAATTAAAGTAAGTAAAAGTAAACAACCACGAAACAGTGTAGCATAAGATAGATGGATTGGCTCACCCGCTGATCATATTGCTTGTGACCCTGTAATGTTTGAATTTGAAAAATTCATCCGTATCAAGAATTGAAATTATTATTAATTTTTATTTATAATTATAAATCATTTTTTCTTTCAAATATTTTTGTAGCATAAGAATGATTGTTTCTTTTATATTTATTATGTTGCAACATTTCTTTTGGCTTTTTTCAAAATCAAATGTTTTTAGAAAAGGAAAATGATGGAAGTAGATGATAGCTATCAAATGAAATTCTTTTTGCATTCAAAGAAAGATCAGGTAGAATAATTGAATTGAGAAGTCTTTTTTTTCGGATTTCTGCTTTAGAATAAAAGTAGGAAATTATCATTGTTGCAGCGTTGATCGTTATTGATGTTTCTAATTATTGGTTAAGCAATTTTATTAAGATAAATGATTAGATATTATTGCTGACAACAGATTCAATCAATCATCAGATTCTTCATTTTTATGAAGATATAGCTTTAAGCTAGTGAAATTCATTGAAACGAAGATGAAGGCAAATAAGAAGTTTCTTATTTTCGCGAGATACAAGGAATAATAAGAATTTTAAAAGAAAGCATGGAAATATTTTTATAACTCTTGAGATTTAAAAATGAATATATCGGATAATCTAGTTACTACAAAGATCTTTTGAATAAATTTAAGAAACTATCGAATAAAGACGATATATTTATTTGAGTCAATAAAATATGTATGGATACGTGTGTGTGTGTGTGTGTGTGTGTGTGTGTGTGTGTGTGTGTGTGTGTGTGTGTGTGTGTGTGTGTGTGTGTGTGTGTGTGTGTGTGTCAAGAAATATATACACAATATCAAAAAGTACTAGTTAAAAAAAAGAAGGAAAATGGAATTTTGTTTGCTAGTTGCTCAGGTAATTTCATAATATAAATAGCATCAAGTGCAATTAAATTTCACATTATAAATTTATTACTAACTTGTCGTGTATTTTTACAGCTGACAAGATTTAATATACATCATATCTCTATCAATAATATAAGTGTTAGACAGGAGGTGGTGATAAAGTCTATTGAATGAATTTTTCCTACATCATTTTAGTGATATGTTTGAAGGAAAAAGTAAAAGGCATTTAAATGAATGAAATGCGATAAGTGATATGAAAAAGTTTTGCAAGAAAAATATATGTAAAAAATTTTTACATGAAAAGATATTTATGTGGAAGAGTTTGAGGGGTGATGTTACACCATCACCACTTTATTAGCATCAAAAATTGTTCGAAAGAGCAATGCCGATTTAGCAAAACAATTAAAGATAATTAATTGATAGTAATTGGTTAAGCCGAAGGAAATGCTGAGCAAAATTCTTCTTAAAACTTAATTTTCTTTTCAGCTAAAGTAAAAGAATTTGTCAAAGTTTTTTTTTTCATTTCTTTTCCCAGAAACTTTTTTAAACTTAGAAATACTATTGGAAAGTTATTATTAAGACATGAAGTTTTATGGATAGAAGAAGCAATGAAAGAGGAAAATAGTGTTGAAGGAAATTAGTGAGATTGAAAAGAAAAATTCAGTTTCATCATTTTGTTTATCATTTGAACTTCATTAGCTCTAAAATTCTTTAATAAGAAAAAAAGGTATAGGCCTGAAATAGAGAGGAGAAAGAAAATTGTGACAGCTTGAAATTGTTTAATGCATGTAAAGTGTTGCTAAGAGGTGTTTAGAATTGCAGAAAATAATTTAAGATTTTTATAAAAATGCAGGAAAAAGTTCGCATTTTTTTAGAATTTGTTGCATATTATCATTTTTGTTTGATATTCATTAAGTTAGATTTAATGACAGGTAAGAGTTGAAGTTAGATTCAATAACAGATAAGAGTTGTATTATTCATTAAGTTGGATTCAATAACAGGTAAGAGTTGTGTTATTTATTAACTTAGATTCAATAACAGTTAGACTCAATAACAGGTGAGAGTTGAAGTTAGATTCAATAACAGGTAAAAGTTGAGTTATTCATTTAGATTTAATATCGGGTAAGAGTTGAAGTTAGATTCAATGGCAGGTAAGAGTTGAGTCATTCATTAAATTAGATTCAATAACAGGTAAGAGTTGAGTAATCAAACTCCAATTTTATAATTATAGATAAAAAGACAAAACTTCATAAATTTTCTCATATCTTCATATTATGAATTTGGGGATTAGTTGTTCTTTCAATTTGCCTCTTTATTAAACTTTTGCTGATAATTTTACTTTTAATATGTCATATATCAATTTAACAATGATCGTATGATAATTAGTTTATCTGGAAACAATTTGGGATGAACGAATTGAATTAAAAAGATAAAAATAAATCATTCCTTGCCACCCATCTCTCAATTCATCGGTTGTAGGCTAATTCCAACAAGAATTCCATTATCCAAATTAACAATTTTCTTATGTTTTCAACATATCTTGTCAAAATTTCATCAAAAATTTTTTCACACTATTCAAAAGAATTATTTCATAATACTAAAGAGTCTATTGTTTCTATTAGAATTGCTAATATCTCTTAATGTATAATCTCATTAATAATTTGTTGACAGTATAAATTATATATAACATTTGATAATATTTTTTATTTAAAAAGAATGGTTATCATTTTTAGTAGTAAAAATATGAAATTTTCAATTTGACTTATTTTCACGAAATATTTATGCCCTCTTTCAAATTGCATATTAGTCTCTCAAATGAAATCAATCAATCCATCTGGCAATAAATAATTTAGATGTCAACAAATTTGACAAAGAAAGATGTAAGAAAATTAATTGCATAAATAGAGTGAATAAAATGATAAGAATTTTTTTTAGTGATTAAATAATCATCTTATCATTTTATTATCATTCTTAAAGAAGTGTAGCAATAAATTAAATATATAAGTGAGTGTTTCTTGTAATTTTCAAACTTCAATTTTTCATAGATTTATTTGGACTTAAACTAAATAGAATATATTTACCAGAAATATGTAGAAGAAAGATAATGGGTAGTAAAATTCGAATTTCATTAAACAATAGAACCATCAGAAGTTGCATGAACAGAAAATCAGTAGCACCTGCCAACCAATTGATATTTCGTTTAACTCAGGAAATAATTGTTGCTATGAAATGGCTAAAAGTAACATAAATGATTTCAATACTACTATAGCGAAATTTCTGTTTTGAATACAAAAATTATTTGAATAAAAAAACTGACAATTTAGTTTGAAGAATAATATCTATCTATCTATATATATATATATCAGATAGAGAGATAAACATAGATGTTTTAACGTCTCTTGAAGTGGATTTTATAATTTTGTTTAACGGGTGAAGTAAGAAAAGAAGGATGCTCGGTTTTATAATAGATTGTCGGTAGAGAGATGATATAGATTTCGTTGAAGAAAACGAATTGGTGTTGCGAAAGGAATAGCTATGGTTGATTTAGTAATATATAGATTTCGAAGCTAAGTACACATCCATTCATGAGAGATGCTGATGAGTTTTGTGTATGAAAACGAAAACTGAAAAATGATGTGAATGATAAAAATGGGATCTGAAAATTTTTAGGTTTCATTCTTAATAATTGTAATTATCGATTTATGAAAATTAATTTTCCCTTTGAAACTAAATGAAATGTAATGAAATAAATTTTGAAATAAGTTTCGTTAGAATTAATGGTGTTTTCTGCTTATTCCTATCATTACTCAATCTCAATTACTTTCTTCTTCTTTTTAATGCACTCTCTATCATCTGTAATATCGATAATAATAATAATAATGATAATAATTGGAAAGACGAATTTTATTAGAATTACAAAATTTGAAATCGATAGAAAACAAAATGGCTTTACTCTGTAATTTAATAATATTCTTAAAAAAGACTATTTCAAAAAAAATTGAATCTGCAAGATATAAACGATAAAACATTTTTAAAAAAATATTAAGAAGTGAATTATGTAACTTTCCATATAGCTGATATTACGAAAATTAGAATGATGATGATGTTAACAGTTAATATTATTATCATTAATAATCCTTAATTAATGAAGTACTAGTTAACAATTGGATGTCTTGCAACACCTGTCTTATGTCAGATAAGGAAACTATATTTGATTATCATCATTATCATTAATTTATTTGGAGTATATTGAAGATGTTCGAAATTCCATCCTTGGTTAATGAAATATTAATTAACAATTAGAGTTTTACATTGTTCATCTCATGCCATATATTAGATGGTGTAATTTAAAAAATAAACACAAATAGAGTAGTTCATTTATAGTGATGCAATTCCAACAGATGGATTTAGCCCTGTGCAAAACAATCGTTATGCTCTGCAGGTTAAATTTTTTTAATTGCACGATATTCATATTTAATATTTTCGGAATAGTAAAAAGAAGTTGCACGATATTCATATTTAATATTTTAGCATGCAGCGATACTCATACTTAATATTTTAGCATGCAGCGATACTCATATTTAATATTTTGAAAAGAAGTTTACAAGGCAATATTGCAAAGCAATCTCTCATGAATAATTTATTTCTATTATTGAATAATAATTAAATTAGATTAAATCAAAAATGTTATTTAATTGATGCCAATTAAAATTGAACACTTTGATATTACTATCTGACATGAGATAGATAATGTAAGACATCCAATTGTTAATTAATACTTTATTACTCAAAGATAGAATTTCAAAGATGATGGTGACAGTCATAATACATTTGTTAGCAGAACGAAAAGTTAACAAACTCATTTCATAATATTCTACAAAATGTTCTACATTCCGCATGTTCAATGTTTTATTTTCAAATAGTTCCTTTAAGAAGATTTTGTTTATGCAAAAGTAATTACAGTCTATGTGAAATTTCGGTAAATCATAAATTTTAAATTAATATTATAGGCTGTATGAATTTCAACGTAAAACAACGAAATTTGATAGATAATTTAAGTGCAAATTTAACCGTAGTTTGCCATTAATACTAGTTATGGCAAATATACTCAGCAAAATGCGTTTTTCACGCTATTT